GTAACCTGACGACGAAGCGAATGCCATACAGCAGCGCTCTTTTATATCTTTTCAGGTTAAAGCAGAATGATGTGCTGTGCAACCAAGTGGTATAAAAGCTACAAAGGCTCCTCCCATTATGAGTAGTTTACTATCAAGTAGCGACACTGGATCTTTTCCTTTTTCCGTACACGGCGAATGAAAACAACCCAAATTTGAGTTTAGTTCACTCATAATCGCCAAAAGTGCAGGAACTCAGCGATGAGTAAATTTGTCTCATGGTTTCCTGTGGAAAACCTAAAAAATCTGCCAGAAAATGAGGAAATTGACGAAAATTTAATTCAGCCGCGGAGTAGTACCAATAGACTGTGAATCCAGTATTTACATTTCTAAAATTCGGGAATTTTTCCCTGGAAAATCCTGGAAAAATCTGGGAAAACATGAGGCAAATTTACTCATCGCTGAGTTCCTGCGCTTTATTTCTCAGTCGGCACCACCGGCATGTTCTAAGGCATAATATCTATAATCATGCCTTCCTTCGGGAAGTAAAGCCGTTGGTCCCCGGTTGAGTTGATGGGTCGATTGATAGGGTCCAGGTATGGGAGCTGCCTCCTTGGCGTCGGTAGCATTAGAGCTCAGTACGGAAAACAAATCTCGCGTCACTTTTCAATAGGTTCTATCTATATTGATCGATTCTCTTCATCGACACTCTCTTTCGTAAATAACGCGGCTTCACAAATGTTTCCTGCCGCCTTTTTCGAATTAGATGCTAGATTGTTGCTTCTTCCATCGAAAATATCCGGCCGTGGCGATTCAAAGTTGATCAAGGTTGATCAAAATAATTTTTACCCCTGCTTCCAGTTTGATGACATGAGCTTTTTTGTGGTCGTTGGTTCTGAATATGGACAAACAGGCAGATGAATTCTATTCCTACTCTTTACTGTAATAAGCTTGGTGGCCCTGAAAAGAGCCGTTTTGTTGCCAAAGTTGGTGATGATTTAACCTCCGAAACCAAACTGAGTGCGTCTCTGTCACTTCAAAACGTAGATGACATCGATGGCCGCTTACGCTTGGCGTGTTTAGTGTAGGTGACAGCATCACGGATCTCATTTTTCAGGAACACCTTCAGCACACTTCGTAAATCAGACCGAAGATACGTCACACACCGCCACGGTGAGCCAGATGACGGATGGTGGTTATCTCGAAGAATTTGTGTTTGTTTCTGAATATGGCGATGAGTGTGCAAAATATTAGGCAATTCCATCCTCCCTATTCGCACGCGCCTGAGGATCGGAGGCGAATGCCACTTCGACTTGTTTCGTCTACTTACCACTCTCTGACGACTGTGCTGGGGAAGCAGCATATGCATGTAGGTAATTGGTGGATTTGTTAGTTAATTCGACGCTTTTGGACAATGCTGGACATTTACCAGTTTTTCAAAAGTTTCTTGTTAAAAATCAACATTCGGAAGCATTGTTATCGATGCGTAGCCATATTTCTGATCGATTGGTGATAAAACTATGGAAATTGGACCAGGTGCAGCTGAGTTATTAACGTTCAAAATCTTTCTTAATTTGTTACATGTTCCATTTTCGGTTTTCACAAAGTGTACCCCCATATAGAAATCAAAGACGTAGTCCTACGTCAAAAAAACATCCGATGGGGATCTTGCAAGACAAATATTGAGAACCTTCTGGCAAAAATATTTTAGAAACTTTCGGAAAAAAATCCAGAAGTCCGAAAAGTTTGGAAATCAGAAGCCAATCTCGGAGGACCTATTTCCTGGGAAGTTAGGAGAAGCTCGGAAAAACCTCCCAAAAAGCCAGAAAAAATTTACGGAGAGTGACTTATGGAGAAACGACAAAAACTTTTGGGAGAACTCGATAGATGCATCCGGTAGAACTTTAATTGAACTTCTTGGAGAAGACGGAAGAAACTTTCAGGAGACACTGCACAGTGGTCCAGAATGCAGATTTAGGTGGAATGATATGTTTTGAGCCTGAAATTGAAACTTTAGACTAAAAGTCTCTTCTACAAACTTGTTCCTTATAGTTAGGTCCTCATTTTTATGAAAATGAATTCTAGGGTGGTTCCTATTATCATTAAAATCAAAAATCTAACTTTTTTGTTTGAATAAATTAAGGTATATATTCTTCGGCAAAGTTATAGCTGAGCTAATTTCAAGCAACTTTGTTGGAAATAACTTTTTTTATCTCTTAAATTGACCGATTTAGAGCTATTTTCTTGAATTGAGTTAGGGTGACTCTTAAAAAAACAGTTTTTTTGCTCTATTTTTCTTATTTCGAATTTCTCAGCAAAGGTGTCTTGAGATAACTTTTAGATCTTAAAAAGTCGCAAATTTTTGCTACACAAAACTTGTCAATATCTTTCGCCGATCAAGAGTTATTGACGTTTTTATACTAAAAATATGCACTTTTCAAATGTTAATATCTCTGGTTGGGGCAAACAAAAAAAAAGTTTTTTTGCAGCATTTGAAAGGGCGTATGTTATTCTTAATAATATGAAAAAAATGGAGATATGTTATTTTTTAAACTCGTATAAAATCAATTTGAATTTATTCATATTTTTTACTATATTTGAGTATATCTTTTTTATTAGAAAAGATACAGGCAACAAACACATTCGTCTTAAAGAGTTTTAAAAGTCTCTAGAAGATGACTTTCATGATAAATTTCAAATAAAAAATTTATTGCTAAAAAACTATTTTTTCCAGGAACACCCTAAGTTAACAAAAAAGTTATTTTCAACAAAGTTGCTTGAAATCATCTCAGGTATAACTTTGCCGAAGAATGTATACCTTAATTTATTCAAGCAAATAAGTTAGATTTTTGATTTAAATGATAATAGGAACCACCCTAGAATTCATTGTCATACAAATGTGGGCCTAACTATAAGGAACAACTTTGTAGCAGAGACTTTTAGTCTTAAGTTTCAATTTCAGGCTCAAAACATATCATTCCACCTAAATCTGCATTCTGTACCACTGTGCACTGGGAGAAACTACGTTAAGTACTGTACAAAAAACTTCTGGAAAAAGTCGGACGCCAGAGGGCTTACGGAATAGAAAGAAAGATAATTCATGTAAACACTACCGTTATCATATGAATAATGGTACTGCAAACACACTTCCAGATTTCTAAAAGTGATGTTTTGAAATCTGGCACTTATTTATTGTTAATTTAAAAAAGAAGTATCTCACAATAGTTTCCTCTGACAATTCAGTGCGAGCAGGCAGTAATCATTTTGATTATTAATTAAAAATCGGTGTATCTGGCAACGCTGGCTCTGATGCAAATATGACAGCTCCTCTTGTTTCTCTTTAATTAAGCTTGGTACATGTCACGCCGCGTTGCAGAAAAAAGATATGGTTTTCTAGATAACGTAATAGGAAAGCATGATTCACGCAAATTGTTCTCGTCAATACGAAAACAACTAAATCATTTTTTTAATTGTCCATTGCGGACAAGTAAGAATGGTTTTGAAGGCATTACATTTGTTGCCACCTGGCCGCATTTAATGTTACATGGTTGGAGCTTAAATATGTTATGGATCACCAGCGCTGCTGATGTTTTCGGCAGTTTCAAGAACTGGATCGCATTGCAGGGGGTTGATGACAACGCTTGGGTCCGTTGCTATCACACTGCCAAATTTGCTAACCCACTGTTCGCCAAGAGGCAGATTGTTATTTCCCGCACTTGAATAGCAACCCCAGGTGCGGTTGCTGCGTTATGGTGGAGGTTGCTAAAATAGCTTTAGCAACGCATTGGTGCGGGGGGTTTTAGGTAAAAAAGGATGGGGAACATGATGGTGCTGTCAAGGTGGAAGTCTAAATTTACTCATTCTAAAAAAAAATTGCGTTTTAAGTTTTTTAACGCAAATATAAAATATTTGGCAGCACAGAACAAAAAAAAATACAAATTCATATTTAAATTCTGTGTCTAATTTTCTCAGAAAAACACTATATTGTAAATTGCAGCTTCATATGTTTCGTAGATGTTGATGAATGAAAGTAGTGCTTTCTTTAAAATCACAAACAATTAAAAATGCTCCCCTGGATGGTGCATCGACCGTCCCACAAATTTGAGTTAGACTAAAATACACATCTCCTCCAAATTTGGTCCAAACCGAAAGAGGTCAATTACACTTTTGATTTTAGTCTCGGTAACTTGGCGCGAAATGACCCTTATACTTTGTTTACAATTTGCTTGATATCTCAAATTACATTGCAACTTTTCCGAGATTTTATAGCATTTTTCAAGTCTTGATCATGGTCTACAAATCCCTCACAAAACCAAAATAGTTACTTGGGATGACAACCCTGCCGAAAAGATACAGACTCTATACAGAGGTTAGCAGCCTTGCCATCAACGCAAACATACTTTTTCAAATTATTATTTATTCTTACGATATTTGTTGTCATTTGTTACATAAAAAAAAAAACTCAATTTAGACACGCAATAGGAATGATTATGTAAGATGTCAATCACAGACTCCTCACAAGAACAAAAACCATCTGCGGCTTCGATCCAAAACCAGGTTAGCATTAGTTTCTCTTGCTCGTCAGGTAAGAGTTTGAAAAACACAATTTGCAGTACATCCAATGATACGGATTAACAAGCGAATTTCATCAAACAGTGTTAACACCTACTGACCGGAAAGTTCCATCACGGCAAGGTTCACCTTCTTCAGTGTTTGGTTGGTAGTAAACCCTCGGAGCAAGCTCCGTGCAAAGTTGGTGATGTTCAATTGTTTTGTACTATGATATAAAAGCATTGCTATGCTGCCAGAATTCTATCAAACGTCCGTTGGAGCTCCTGAGGTGGTGATCAATCAATAGTGCAAAACAGCAGCAACATGCTAAAGGTAGTGAAGGTTCATGAAACTGACTCTGATTGGAAAATAATTGGGTTTCTAATTGATAACAGATTGCAACATTGTTCGTGGTGCTGGCGGTGGTTGCCAGCTCGTTGGCCTATCAAGGCCATCGGAGCAGTGAACTGATGGGTCGTGGTCAAGCAGCAGTTGATGAAGTGGACCGTCGCCGACAGGAACAGCTTCGCGATTGGGATGCCTGGAGAGCTGAGCGCCAAAGGGAACTGCAAGCCGCTTGGAATGAGCAGCGTGAGGAGGATGACAATCGAGAGGAAGGTGTGGCTGAAAATGAAGGGCAAGAAGAAGGGGATGGAGAGCAAAGTAGTGACATGGGGGAGGGTCAGCAGCGAGACCGTCAGGAATCGGGAGAACGTGGTGATCGGGATGAGGGAGAAGGTGATGAGAATGAAATGCAGGAAGAAGGAAACGATGAACAGGTTGACGGTGAGGGTGAACGAGATGCTGAACAGGAGGATGGAGGGGAAAATGAACAAGATGTAGAACAGCAGCGTGAAGGTGGTTGGACTGTGTGGAACACGAGACGAGGTCAGCGAACCGGAGGTCGTCAGCAGGAGCGCCAGGAGAGAAGACAGGAAGGTCAGCAGGAACGTCGGCAGGAAGGTCGGCAGGAAGGACGACAGCAAGGACGACAGGAAGGACGACAGAAAGGTCGTCAAGAAGGAAGACAGGAAGGACGACAGGAAGGACGACAGGAAGGACAACAGGAAGGACGACAGCAAGGACGACAGGAAGGACGACAGGAAGGACGACAGGAAGGACGACAGGAAGGACGACAGGAAGGACGACAGGAAGGACGACAGGAAGGACGACAGGAAGGACGACAGGAAGGACGACAGGAAGGACGACAGAATGGTCGTCAGGAAGGACGACAGAATGGTCGTCAGGAAGGTCGTCAGGAAGGTCGTCAGAACGGCAAACAGGGAGGTCGTCAGGAGAATCGTCAACAGGAAACTCGTGACGAGAGGCGGCAAGGAGGTACCCGAGACGATCGTCAGGATGGACGCCAAGGAAGTCGTCAGCAGGGACAACAGGGTGCTCGTCAGGAAGGAAGACAAGGTGGCCGTCAGGAAGCAGGCCGTGAAGAACAACAGCAAAAAGGTCAGCAGGAAGGGCGTCAGGAGATTCTATCAGAAAGATTAGGTAAACAGGGTGGCCGTCAGGAAAGCCGACAAGGAGATAATCAGAAGAATGGTCAAGAAAGTCGTCAGGGGGAACGACAAGCAGCTAATGCAAAAGTCCAGCAAGTAGGACGCCAACAAGAACGACAAGGTGCTCGTCAAAATGGCCAACAAGAAGGTAATCAAGGTGGACGTCAAAATGAACGTCAAAATCAAGGTCAAGCAGAACGACCAGGAAATCAACAACAGAACCGCAATGAAGGTAGACAACAGGGACGCCAAAGAGGAAATCAGGAAGCAGTTGTCCTTCCCAATTACGAATTCGCATACGGAGTTTATGACCCCAAAACCGGAGATCATAAAGATCAGTGGGAGAAGCGCGTTGGTGATCACGTAAAAGGTGTCTACTCTTTGAACCAACCTGACGGCAAGAAACGGGTTGTACACTACGAAGGCGATGCCAAACGAGGAATCGAGGCAGATGTCAAACAGGTCGAGAAGAAAGGTGACCGTCGCGAGCAAACCAATGGAGTAGCTCACAGTTACAACAAGCTGAAGAAAATCAACTAATGCCGAAGGTAATCCAATATATATTTTTAAACCAGTTCATAAATATTGCATAAATATCCAAATAAACATCTGATTGAGTTAAGCAGCATTATCTCATAGTGTTGTGCTGTTACTTTCGTATGCAAGCAGAAGCCCCTACCGGTATCATACAAATCGCTTCACTGAGCCAATCGAACACGAAGTAGAGCATGCGTATCGAACCGTACACGTTTTGAATATGCATTAAACAAGATGTGTGAGCTCATGGCTTCCTCATTGGTATTCCTTAACATGGGCGTAGACGTGAAAGAAACCAAAAGGGCATTGATTCATCGTTTTTTATTTGTTTTCGTTTTCGTTGAAACATTCGATTTATTGACAAGTAACAACTGCAACTAGCACTAGTTCAACAATAGGTTTGCTTTCGGTTAGCTTTCAGTCTGATTCAATTAAATTTTTCGAACTTAATATAACTTAGTCCTCCTTGATGGCCACTGTTGGTAGGTTCTTCTCTTACGCTATTCTCCTGCTGCTCTTGCTGCTTCTGCGATTCTTCGAACTTCTGGTTGTTCTCCTGCTGCTGCTGCTGCTGCCTGGATCCTCCTTTGAGAGCCGAAAATCCAAACACAGGATTATCCTCAAATCCCCTAGGTCCAGACTGCTGCGGTGGTTCCGGTGCTTCCCATTGCTCCGTCTGATCCTCCTCTCGACTGCTCTCTCTTAGCTTTTCGAAGAACTTTGGTGATTTGTACACTCCCTGATGGGACTTGGAACTCCCGTATCCTATCTTCACGATCGGCTCCTGTCGACCTCCAATTTTATTAATCTGCACTCGGATTTCGTCATCTGCTTCTGATGAACCGGAAACATCGCGTCCGAAGTTATCATGCTGTTGTTGTTGGTTCTGCTCAAAGGATTCGCCACTTTCTGCCATCGCCATGATCGATTGCCCATCCTGCGTTCCAGAACTAGACCTGCCCGAACCACCAGCAGCCTCTAAAACATGCTCGTAACTATCCAAATCACTCTCCGTCAGCTCTTTGTCCAGATAATCCTTGAACAGTCTATTGAACTGCTCAACAGTGAGTCCTCCATTGCGGCTTACCAAAATTCGCGTCAACTCCAGAGGATCTGTAGTTTCGTTGATGGCTTCCATTGAGGATACAATCGCTTCCGTATTCTGCGTATCAGGCCGTCGTGCCCCTTTGGCTTCGTCGTAATCCTGATAGTCTTCACTCACGTACTTTCCGTAGCTATCACGTAGGGTAGGTTCACTGTATTCCTCCGATTGGGAGTTCTGCTGCAGTGAATTTCCGCTAGGTTCCTCGACGGGAGTTTTCGAGCTACGATCAAGTTGGATCCTTGGGTCACCTTGATCTTCCAGCTTGATTTGAGACGCCTGTTGGCTATTGGGAACTGTTTGTTGGTTGTTGTTGTTTTGCATCTGACCGAACTGTTGTTGCCCTGGCATATGCTGAATGCGGAACGCATTGTGCTGAATGTAGCCTAGCTGTGGCTGCTGCTGCTGTACCTGATTCATCTGGAGACCCCAGAATGTCGTGGGAACAATGAATCCGGTCTGGAAGGCTTGTGGGTTTTGGATTTGAACGGGTCTTTGGATATCTTGAGTAACCTGCCGGTTAGGTTGGGTGGTAGTGAACTGGAAGTTATGCTGAAGACCGTTGCTATTCTGCTGTTGTTGCAAATAGTTTTGAGCAAGGAGATTCTGCTGGATTGGAAAACCTGAAGGCAGTCTATTCTGGTTCGCTTGATTCGTTTGATCTCCTCGCATGGGAGGTCCCACGAGGGCCAAGGGGGTTGAAATTTGATTGTTTTCGTCACTTCCCAAATTCTCGCTAACGGAATAGCCGGCAGTTGTCACCTCCACGCTATTCAGATTGACGTTTTTCAAGCTTTCCCGAACTGTTTCTTCCATGTTTGGATATTGATTGAAGTCTTTCCTCAGTTGGCTACGTCCTATGTTCTGAACGACTTGGCTATGTTTTCCGAGAATCTCTAGGACGTTGGCTTTTGCTTGTTTACCGTTGTGAGGTTTCTCGTATTTGACCAACAGGTAGATGGTGTTACTGTCATCAATTTCGTTGATGGAAACTTCTTGCGGGCGGCTTGGAGCAGTAGTAGTGGTTGGTGCAACTGTGGTGGTGGTCGTAGTGGTGGTTGTGGGAGCTGCCGTTGTAGAGGTTGTTTCTTTCGGAGGTGGAATAAATTGAGTGGGACCGATTTTGTCACTGTTAAATGGAACTCGCAGCTGAGGATTACGGAAAAGGACACTGGGAGTGACTGGATTAACGACGATCAAATTTTGCTCAGTCTGAGGAGCCACCGTCGTCCGTTGGAAATCATTCTCCTCAGAGCTCTGGATTGGTTCATGATTTCGAATTTTCCCGTAGCTTTCACTCTGTGTTTTGTAAAAGGTGATGGGTTTAAGAGGCATTTTTCTAAAGTCTGGCACATATTCATGATGCGAAAGGTTGGGATCAATGAACCGTTCGGTCTTCTCATAATTCTGATAGATGGGCGTACTAGATATCCAATTTTCCTCCTGATGAGGTAACTGAGTCGTTGTCGTTTTTCTCGCTACTCCAGGCTGCCGTTGCCCAAATTGGGAATACATTGGAGCGTTAGTCGTACTAGGCTCCGTCGATGGTTCAAAAGTCGTCGTGTAACTCCAGGAACCACTCAACTTCGAATTCTTCATACCTCGATTACTACTAGATCCATGACGTTGAGTTCCACTTCTCATCTTCGGTTCCCACTTTTCATCACGTTTGCGACCTTTTTTCCGTGGTTCATAGATCTCTTCCGATCGAGACACTTCCTTCCGGTACCCAATCTGTGGATTATTCTGACCGATTGACCCCGTCTTATCCCGACTGGGCTCCTTGAATGGCTTCGCATTCACGTGCCTCTGGTGGATCTCGAAGGGACCATGTTTGACACTGACTTCGTACTTGTTTCTTCTCGATGCACTTTCAGCGGTCACCAGCAGAGCTGCCAGCAATAGCACTGGTTTGAACCACTGCAATTAGAATATAGAATCACTATCACGTTCTGATCGTCACTTTTCGCAACCACTCCTAAACTCACCTGGACCATACTGAATTCAACCGTTGAAACCTTCTACGCCTTTCGCGGGCAATCAACGGACTGACCACTTTCTCCTCGATTACCAAACTATTTATAACGTATCCCTTCATAAGTATAGTGAAACAATCGAGGAAACCGATCAAAAAAAAAAAAACAGCGAGTTCAATTGATTGAACATTCGCAAAAACAGTACAGCCATAAGGAGAACATGGGGTGTGTTCCCTGGTGCTTCTTACGCATCGTGGATCGCCTATCGATCAAATGTGCGGCCAAGTGATAACACCCAAGCATTGGTTTGCCGAAAGCTCACAGACAATTCCAGACCACTAAACTCACATCCAATCATGAAAAAATACCATTGCATCTACCCACAGTCTATGGTATGGTTGTCCGTCGTGGGCGGATTGCGTGCACCACCGTACCGTACCGGTGGTTGTATGATCGATGTTGCTGCTACTACATAAGGTGCCGCACACTAACCGAAGGCACCCGGCACGATCGCGTGCAGTGGTCTAGACTTTGCCGCGTGGAGATTAAGCTACTTACCGGAGATTAAGAGGAACATTGTTCGGATTTGTAAAAGCATGTGTTATGGACAACCGCCCTCGCACATGCTGGTTGACGCTACAATGTGTTCGAGTGAAGGTCAACTGTCAACCGTTTGACAGCCGAAGAATTTGAGTTCAGTTCTCTCAACAGGTTTCAGCTTTGACAGGTGAAATCCGATCTCGGTATCTAATTAATGTGGAAGGAAAACAAAGTTCAAATACCTAAACAGCAAACGTTTAATTGTCATGGGAGAAATCACACCATGCTTCCTCGTCAACATCTTGACAGACGATCCTCCCACCATCTCTCGAACAAAGCATCCTCTCGAAAAGCGTATTGCGAAAGAACCTTAGTCGGTGCTCAGCCAACTGAAACCCTCCAAAAAACATGAATCATTGCGAAGTTGCAGATTTATTGCCCCGTTGTTGATGCCGTTTTCTGAGAAGTGCCGCTTAAATCGGAATCATTTCGCACGACCAACGAATGGGGATTTCCTTCAAACGTGCTGTTGCTGTTGCTGTTATTGCCAAGGTTTCGAATTCTATTTGCCACTTGAAAAAAAAGGTGTTTATTTTGCGATACCTTTGTAACAGCGCAGAATGCAGATGCGATCAAGTTGCGGTTGGATAGATCTGAGCACATTCGATCGGGACACGTTTCAGGAAATGGCTAATGCGATCTGCGTGTGTTGTGGCTTTGGTTGGGATCGCACTATTTCTGAACAACATTCATGAGCTTCTGGTGCTCTTGACATCGTTGGCATTCGGCAAGTGGTTCGATTGAAAGGACCAATCGAAATTGGCTGGATGAACAAGAAGCTCTGTGGCCATGCAGGCAGTTGAATGATATTCAAATCATTTTACCTACAAGCACAGCAACATTTTGACTTCATGATCTATGGCGAATGTGCAAATATGTGGCGCATAAAAACTAAAAAAACGGTTAAGGGTTGTGTCCATAGAACATTAACATATGTTTTGTCATCGATCAAAGTGCAGCCCTTGTGTTTCGTCAAAACACGGTCGTAAAAGAGCCTTGCATGCTTTTCGGCCACGGAATTCTGCTTCATGTGCCGGTTCGGATGTTTACTGGCTTTGTACGACTTGTATCCTTCCCTGGCACGGATGTTCCGCCGCACCGTTTGAAAGATGGCGTTGTACCTTCTGGCCACATCTCGGATCTAATGACGCGGGTTGGCTTTAACTCACCTCGCACCTCAACGTTGGCTTTAACGCGCAGCTGACGATCCATTGGAATGAGTTGCGGCAAGTTGAAACGGAAAATGAGTCTCTTTCTTAGCGGAAATCGATGATAAATTTGATTCCTTTTCATTATATTGCTGCGTGTGGAATGAATTTAAGACATTTTATTCTTTATATATTGATGGAGCTCGTTTTGCCCCATCAAGATCAGATTTGCAAATCATTATAATCCAATTTTAAAACAGTTATTAATAAAAGGATACATACTTTTTACATATTTGATGTAATATTTAAAAGTGAATTTTTTGTCAGGTGCTAATCCAAGATATTTCACTTGACTTGACCAATAAATTGGACAATCTGGCAAACATCTGGCTGCAGCTTCTTCTGTACGGAAACCCACTTTTTCTTCATGTCTTCCTATTCTTCCTAAGATTTGACCTCCTAGCGATGCTTCCGTACTGCTTGCTTCATAAAAGCCCAGTATTTTTCGATGGGCTTTAGTTCCGGTGCGTTGGGGGGTTCATGTCCTTTGGTACGAAAGTGACCCCGGTGACTTCGTCCCACTCCAGGACAACATTTGAATAGTGGCACGAAGCTGGATCCGGCCAGAAGATCGTAGGGCCTTCGTGTTGCTTCAACAGAGGAAGCAGATGCTTCTGTAGACACTCCTTGAGGTATATCTCCCCGTTTACAGTCCCGGAAGTCACGAGTGGCGCACTCCGTTTACCACATGAGCAGATCGTTTGCCAAATAATGTATTTCTTGACAAACTGAAAGTTTCTGCATCCTTACTTCCTCCGGAACATCAAACTTGTGCTGTGCGGTGAAGAACAGTAGCCCCGGAAGCTGGTAAGTCTTATCATCCATGATGAGACAATGAGGCTTCGTCAGCATCTGGGTGTACAGTTTCCGGGCCCGTGACTTTCCCACCGTATTTTGCCGTTCGTCACGATTTGAAGCCTTCTGCACTTTGTACGTATGCAGTCCCTCCCGGTCCTTGGCTCTCTGAACTCTCTAAAGACTTGGACAGATTCAACTTTTTGCCCGCATCCCTGACCGAAGCATTGGGATTCCGCTTGAACGCTTTCACAACACGCTTGTGATCCTGATCACTAATAGAACATCCATTCTGACCGCATTTCCCCTTCCGTTCGATGCTCAGAGTTTCGTAGTAACGTTTAGTGATGTCCGATTAATAGTCGATTAATCGAGACAATCGATTATCTGTTCAAATAATCGATTAATTTTTAATCGATTATTCAATGCTTCGATTATCTAATAATCGATTAATTGGCTTCGATTATCTAATAATCGATTAATTGGCTTCGATGATTGAACGATTATTTGAATTTCATTGGAAGTATTTATTTTAGTGTATAAAGAACTTATCATTATCAATTAAACTACATGATAACCCGCAACAACTCTAAATTGAGTCGAACATGCTCATTTCAGCGTTTAGTATGGCTACTCAAAGGTGAGTGGCGCAATTTTACTCACTTTTGAGTAAACGACGTTCTCGCGCAGAGTGAGTCAACACCACTCTGTGATATTTTCAGGCGGGAAATGTGTTTTTTTTATTTTATATTTTTGATAAAAAAAAATGGAAATTTACTGCTCCAGATTAATTAAACTGGAGCTGAAGACGACTGAAATCGGTCTCCGCATGCAATTCCTACTTACCTTAATACATTTCGGCCGGTGTTATACAATAATTTCACCATTTCTTAGAGCGTCTGCGCCGACACGGTTGGTCCCGTATTTGGCTAACTGAGTGGCTTTTACTCAGTTTGACATTTCTCGTTCACTCAGATTTTGACAACCTAATGCATCAAACGAAATTGAGTACGATCGACTCACCCGGTGAGTAAGCTAAAGTAAGCGGGTAGACTTATCTGACATTTGTAAAATGCACAAGTATTAGTGCAGAACTTGCGGTAAAGTATTAGTATTAGTGCAAGAAAACCTTACCCAAAGTTCTGCACTAATACTTGTGCAATTCACAAACGTCAGAGAAGTCTATTCTCTTAAACATGATGGGTATATACATGATGATACAGCTTTGTCACTATGTTGGCGAGGAGATCGCGGGGGGGAAAAGTGCGGTTTTAGAGCAAATTGTAAAAAAAACTCGGTCGCTGTCCCGTACAAAAACCCAACATGGCTGAATCATGAATTTGATACATTAGAACACCTCTATGTAGTCACCTTGCTCTAAAGCAGAGTCGAACAATCAGCACTGTTTGTGATTTACTTTTCATCAGAGAAAACAACAACCAGATTTTTTGCGTTAGCATCGGATGACTTTCATTCAGAAGTGAAAAATTGTACGTTGATAATGGAGCTTCTGGGAAACAAAAACAATTATAGAACCTGACAAATTTTCAAACAAGTGCTTGGTATAACTTATAAATACCACGATGTAATAATTAAAGCAAAGTAATGTTTTTCAACTACAATTACTAAAGTATTGTCAGTAATGAATGCAATACTTGTAGTTCAGTGGCTGTGCTGAATGGGTGCGATATCCAACGCAGGTGTGGAAGCTGCCTTCCTTGCACATTCGATTGCCGTCAATGGATGGCAATCGATGTCCGGCGGTGATTGGCATTAGATTGTGGAACAGAGACCGACGTTAAATAAAGGAAAGAATAAGAAGCCCTCATCTCAACATGATACTATTCCCACAGACAAACAGGCATAACACTGGCAATTTGTTCATCGCACACGCATTTAACGGTCAATTTAAATGTTTTTAGTTGCTAGTGGCGCGCATAGTCAATAACCCTTGCGTTTGACGTTTACACACTACCGGCATCTGTTCAGAGCACTACCCATCACAGTATACTCAACAGATGGCGGTAGTGTTTTAGCGACGATTTTTAATATTGAAAAATATTCAATATGTTATGTCTGTTTGTCTGTGCTATTCCTACAATCTGTTGGATAAATAGAGCTTATATACTATAGAAGAAGAAAAGCGCTGGTGTTCCCTTTGTTCCGATGCTGAATAATTCCAGGTACAGAACTGTCAAACTGCATAGTTTTTTCTCGCTTTGACAGTTGTGTCCCTATTAGATGTAAGGGAAAGATGTTTAGACAGCGACGGCAGCGCTATTCTTCCTCTAAAGTTTATTACCTCTATTGTTGGAGAAGATGTTTGGTTCGAGTAAATGTTTTTTCAGGTAATGAGATTGCAGTCCAAAGTCAAAATCAATTCGTCATAAAGATGCAAGTTGTCTCTTCTCTCACTAT